CAGAGTGAGTTCCAGGACAGCCAGGGCTACACAGAGAAACCCTGTCTCGAAAAAAAAAAAAAAAAGAAAGCATTGCCTTTTTCTCATTTCTTGCAGATCAGCCAAAAGAAAAAGCAGAAGAGGGGGAAAAAACATCAAAAGAACAAGAAAAATGGAAAGCCTAAAACACCCCAAAGTCCTCGTTCAAAGAAGAATACATAAAAGACTACCGCTTTACCAATGAGCACTCTGCGTCTTAATGGTTTTTAGATCGTACTGAAAAGCCTTTCCTGGCAGAGCAGCCTTTAATACATAAGCTTTTAATACTTTGTTAATCTAACTACAAAACATAAAGCATGCATTTGAAATTATAACTAAAGCTAAGAAGTTAATTGTAAAGCTCAAATGGTAAGAATTGCTAGAGGCAAAAACAGTCTTTGTTTTACACAGCCAACAATATTTCATTGAGCCCTTGAGCACAGTCACGATAATATCAAACCTGGGCAAGTGTCCACACATAGTTATCCATGCACAACAGCTGTCTGGCTTCCAGAGCCACACATTTCGCAGCCTCCGGAGTCTTCTGAGGCTCACATCACCAAGTCTGTTTGCTGGTGAGCTAGACATCACCAAACTGGCAAGGCCGTGAGCAGCTGCATTTGAGTCAGCCTGGAGTCCCCACACAAAGTGTGTCTCAGAGATCGGTGCAAGTGGTTTTGTGGTTCTACCGTGAAGAACACCAGCATTGGCTTTCAGAACCTTCTGTGTAGCTTTTGAGAACATGGGATTTCATTATTAACTTGATACCATCTTCAAGGCTTATTCCAAGTTTGCTTCTTAAATGAAACTCTCCTAGAAGGTTGTGTGTGTATCTTAGCAGCAGAACACTTGGTGTTCAGAACAAGGCCCTGGAGTCAATCACTAACAGTACAAAAACTTAACCAGTTTAAAGAATCTTTTCTGGCTACTCAGATTCTTTTAAATCTATTTTGCTTGTTGCTCAGTGTTTCATGAGTAAACACTTCACTGTTATCTAATTGGATTTTTTTGTTTGTTTTTCTTTTTCCAATAAGACTGTTTTTTTGAGAGTAGGGGCCATGGATTATTCCCCTAAATCTTCCACAGTGCCTACAAGAACTTGGTTTTGAATAATTTCCTAATTGTATGTGTGAAAGGTAGAAAGAATGTTAACACACCAGGCATTGGCCAATCCCCAGCTACTCCACATTGCCTAACTAACCCTTGGCCTCCTTGCTTGCTTATTATTTTTTTAAGACAGAGTTTCTCATCTGGCTATCCTAAAACTCACAACGTAGACAAGGCTGTCCTTGAATTCACATATGTTTATGTTCCACTGCTTCCTGAATGCTGGGATTAAAGGTGTGTGCTACTACACTTGCCTCCCTCCCTCCCTCCCTCCCTCCCTCCCTCCCTCCCTCCCTCCCTCCCTTCCTCCCTCCCTCCCTCTCTTCCTCCCTTACCTTAGATCTCCCTACCTAGCGCTCTCATTATCTTCAGGGATCTTCAATGCATGAGCCAGAGTGAGTGAGAAAACAGCCTTACCTCGTGACAGGAGGCTAACATCCTTAACAAACAGGAATCACATGTTTAAGACATTGGCGGATATTTGGAACTGCTCGAAAAATACACAGGCCATCTAGAAAAAACCTTACAGGTTTAACTGATTGGCAAATACTAGACCTTTCCTCACTCAAAACCAAATTCCTCTAATATCATTCTTGATCAGGACAAGCTTCCTAGGAGTCAACAAAATAGCTGCCAAATCCTTTAACAAGTTTAGGTGAGTGTGGATTTCCTTGTCATCTTCCCTCATTGCAGAACTCCCAGTGTGTGATTACATCGATTGCCACATCAGTCAAAGAGTGGTGAAATGACAAGGTGGGGGCTGGACGGGTGGTCAGAGTTCCATTCCCAGTACCCACGTGGGAGCCTCAGAACCATCTCTAGCTCCAGGGAATCTGACCACCTCTAACTCCAGCTCCAGGGGATCCATGTCTCTCTTCTGGCCTTTGTGGGCATTGCACAGATGTACACAGGCTGACACTCCTACATCATACACACACACACACACACACACACACACACACAATTTAAGACGCCAAATAAAAATCTTTACAGAGATATTTTTAAAGGAATTAAGAGCTACAGGAAACAGTAAATTCTGTTGGTGGAAGTGTGGATGGGGCCAAGTTAGCCTGTGTGGGAGCTGGAAACTGCTCTAGAGAGGAGGTCTGACGAATTAAATAGAAAAAGAAAAGAAAAAAGAATGTCTCTGGGCAGGAATTCAGTCTTCAGCATGTCCTTCTCAAATACTGCCATTCCTCACGCTGCAGGTGGTTTTGAGTGTTGCTTCTGGCACTCCCGTTGAAACACCATTACAGAGTCAAAGAGCTGTCCAGCTCCTTCGGGTAACTTACTTTGGAAAAAAAAAAATCTGAAACTGTTTCCTAACTAGTTAGCTGGTGGCCCTTGCATCTGACAGCTGAGTAGTATACATAACTACTAGCCAAAGACTGTGTATTTTTTTATTAAATAATTATGATGGATACATATGCCTACAGTATGACTTCATATATATACTCTAATTTTTAATTCAAAACAAATTAGTATATATGCTCTGAAGCTATTTTGTGAAATGATAGTGATACCAGTAAAAATGCACTAAATCTCAAAATCAACGTGGTTTTTAAAATGTCTTTGTCCGCCCTTTGGCTAGTGTGTGCTTCAGAAGACTTCTTGTTTATCCTTTACTCCTTTGCTGTTTGACTTTCTCTCATGATGTTGATGGCAATTGAGATAAAGACATGAAAATGCTTTAAGAGACTCCTTAAGTACAAAAAAAAAACCCAACTTCTATTGCATATAATAAAACACTGACTCTCTCAGTTAGTGTGTCTATTGCTGTGCTAAAATACCATGACCAAAACTAACTTGAGGAGGGAAGGGTTTATTTCACTTATACTTCAGAATCACATGGTATCATTGAAGACCCACAGGTCAGGAATTCAAACGGGGCAGGGACTTAGCAGCAGAAGCTGATGCAAAAGAGGCTATGGAGTGATGCTTACTGGCTTGCTTACTGTGGCTTGCTTAGTTTGTTTTCTTATACCACCCAAGACCACCAGCCAGAGGTGGCACCACCCACAATGGTCTGGATTCTCCCATGTGAGTCACTAATTAAGGCTCATCTATAGCTCGATCTTATAAAGTAAAGCTCTCGATTGAGGTACTTTCCTCTCAGATGACCTAAGCTTGTGTCAAGTTGACATATAGCTAGCCAACACACTACCTTACAACAACATAGCATTTTCTCTTCTCTCTCCTAAAATTGCTTATGTTCAAGGGACATGAAACTTTAAGGAGGAATGGTGGAGACCCAAATGGCAAATCAATCATTTAAGTCTCAGGTGCTAAGGTTTAGAAAATTATCCTCCAGAGGTCTCTCTGACCATTCTCTTGTGTGCTGAACCTCTCTTCCCGTTTCTGGGGTACACTGACTTCATTTCCTTTGCAGGGCCCTTGCAGGTACTGGTCCCTGTAATGTTGGCCCATGCTGTGTTGACTTGGTTATTCTGGGAGCTGTGTTTCCTATAATCTCTTTTGTGTGTGTCTCTAGGGCTTAATTATCAGCCTATGGTTACCTCTTTGGAGGAGATGAAGCCTTTAAGAGGTGGGCCCATTGAGAGGAAATTAAGTAAGGGTGTCCACTTGAGCATCTCCTGATCCTTTCTTTTCTCGTTCTCTTTTTCTTCCTGGATACTATGTTGTGAACAGTCCTCCTCTTCCATGAAGCCTGCCATAATTTACTGTGCCACGTGAGGTCAAAGCAACCCGGCAAAGGAACTACAACCTGAAATCATCATGAGTCAAAATAGACCTTCCCTCCTTTGAGGTTGATTGTATTGCATATCTATCCTGGTGATGGAAAGTCACCATAGGTATTATTCTTGGACTATAGACACATCGTGTGGGAAAGTAGATAGAAAACATCAGCACATACAACTGAGGTATTCTTGAGGAGCCAGACAGGTGTGGTGTTTGGGCAGGTATCAGCCACTAGCGGTATACATGAATTTCCCCCCAAGGGCTTTTACCCATGAGGCAGCCAGGTGCTGTGCAAAGAGCAGAGATTTTTTAGACATATCTCAGGAACAGCTGAGCACACTGCTGAGCTGTATGGACTTGGTTCAAGCATGGAATCTTTCTGCATTCATTTCTTCATCCAGGATCATTGTGAGAGACAAAATGCGTATAGCCCTTGGAGCATAGAAAGTTCTAGGCCCTCCTCGCCCACTTATCATGGCCATCCCGCCTTCCATCAGAGACAACCCCAAGTCTCATGGGCAGAGAGGTGTGTGTAGACAAAAGACTATGTTGGAGAAATGAGATCCCCTGAGCAGTTCTTTCTAGGGACATTTTCATAGCCTGAACCCAAGACTATCTGACCTCTTCCTGAGTAACCTCAGAGGTCTCCTATATGCTCCTTTTAAACTAATAATTCAAAATGCAATACATTGCCTAAAATCTTGGGATTTATAGCTGGGTCAAAGATGGCCACATCCTTTTTAATGGGCTCTGCCTGCCTTTCTGATCACCGTTTCTTCATAAATGAGCCTCAGTTTTCTGTCTTTGGGCACGTTGAGTTCATTTGCCTTTAAGGTCTTGGGTAGATTCTGCTCCATGCTGGGCTGGACTGTGCCGTCAACTTGGTGGGACTGGGCTCTGCGTTTCCTGGAGTCTCTTTCATGGTCTGATTCTCAGAGTTAGCTTACAGGGAATGGGTGAGATTTGGAAAAGCAAAAGAGGGACTGCTAGGCAAACCGGAACGCCGTGGCTCTCAGCTTGTCTTGGTCTCTTCCTGGACAGCTGGCTCATCTTCCCCATTGCTGACCTGAGATCACTGGTGCTCCCAGGTCCCCCAAGAGAAGCAGTCGATCTCCAGAGAACATACAGATACAGAAGTAGCAGCTTCCAGGAAACTTTCACAACCCTTATTTGGCAACCCGGGCTCATCCTCTTGAGTCATCTTGCAAGCTGAGTTGTCCAGCTGGCCCAGCGCATCTGCCAGGCTAGTCAATAATTCTTCCCCCAGTCCCCTGATTTTCCCACTGGGACTTTCGCTTCCCAGCACCCTCACTTCGTTCCTGTAGCAAACCCTTCGTTCCCACGATGTCTAATAGAGACTCTGTTCCCCAGTTGATACAATTGAGTAAAATAAATAAATAATTCTTTACATAAATTAAGTTTCAGTTTATCTGTTTGCGACTTTTCTAGAGCTGTGATAAAGGCAACGTATAGAAGGAAGGGTTTATTTGGGGTTATGGTTTCTGAGGGATGATAGTCCATTCTAGTAGCAGGCAGCAGATAGGATGGCAGAAACCATTGAAGCTCCCATTTTGAACTGAAAACGGGAAGCTAAGAGAGAACTCAGAATGGTTTGAGGCTTTGAAACCTCAAAGCTCCACCCACGCCATCCCCAGCCCCGCCCCACCTTCACCCCACCCCCACATCACACTTAGTCCAGCATCCAAACAGTATCACCAGCTGGGAGACAAATTTCAAACATCCTACTGTAGCTGAATGTAACTTCAAAGTCTCCTCATTTTCACCCCGCTCTCACCTCCCTATTTTACTGGTTTTGAACATAGAGCGTGTGTATAAAAGTAGTGAATAAGATGAGAACACTCAGGTTTTACGTTATTATTTTAAAAAATAAGAACTGGCTGGGTGTGATGGCACATGCCTTTAATTCCAGGACTTGGAAGGCAGAACCAGGCAGATATTTGTGAGTTCCGGGCCAGCCTGGTCCGCAGAGTCATTTCCAGGACAGCCAGAGGGATACAGAGAAACCCTGTCTCAAACAAAACAAAACAAAACCCAACTGGCTCAAATGTTTCACACACACACACACACACACACACACACACACACATTTATACCGCTATAAACATGGATTATAAATTAACCCATGGTCGACACTGTCAACTCTCGATTACCCTGTTTGCCAGTGGTTCTATGTTG